GTGTAACTGTAAACTTCTGGAGGTTGCATGTATATCTATATATATATATATATATATATATATATATATATATGTATATATATACGACATTAGATTTGTATTTTTAAAAAAGTGTTGGAGACTTATGGCTGGTTTATTTTTTATTTTTTTTTACATTTGTATTTTTCATTGTAAGGTTCTTAATGTTGTGTTTTTAGGTAGACCATTTTTAAGATCTGTGCAGGGACAACAGATGAAAAATAGCCTTTTGGCTAATTCTGGTGCATTTCCAGGCATGCTTATTAATGTACACCGTCCCTGTCAAATAAATAAATCTAAATCTAGCGCTATCTTTAATTTTGTCTGTATCACAATAACATGGCCTGTGAACAGCATAAATATGACTCGTGTCCAATCTCCTTAAACCAACGTGTGCATACTTTAAAGTGTAGCTCCCATTTTACAATAAATGTGATTACATTTTAGCCATGCTTTACATAAAAACATCCCCGCTGTATGCACTGTTACACTGACAACATGACTAAATAATTTGAAAGCCTTATATTTACACAATAACAAAAGGATTAGTCATTCTAATGGTAAAGACTTATATATTGCTCTTTCGTCAAATTATTTTGAAAAATACACCCTATTTTATTTTGAAAGTGTTAAGTATGATTCAAGGAATATACCACAGCAACCAAGAAAAACTGCCATATCAACATTTACTAATACTATTAGTATGAAATAATATCTCAGTCTGTATAGCTCAATCCTTTAACCTATTTATCTCTATTTCTATATAAGGTATCAATTTATCCATTTTATCTAAACAAACATACATAAATACTGATTAATTGATCAATTAATTGATTAAATGATAATGATAACATAGGAAACTGCCCCTAATTGTTTTATTAAAATCATTTTAAAAAAAACTATTTAAAAATGAATCTGATAATGGAAAATTTAAAAAGATAAACACATAGGGTTGAGCTCAGAAAAATGGTTTGTCTCGTTATGCACTTAAAAAAACAGTACATTTCTCAATGACTAACAGAATTCGGGGCTAGATCTGAATTATTATTTTAAAGTTGCTAAAAAGGGAGATAAATGTGGCTTTCCTGCTTCAAGTTAATAAGTAAGATGATGAATAACCTAAAAAAAAAACTGATTTGGTGCTCTAGCAATACCAGCTCTTTCTTGTAGTGGATGAGTAGAGCCACTAGAGTGCAGCAGAGAGCTAGGTGCTTGACGGTTCATTCATAACCTA